CGATTTCAGAAAATGTGAATCAAAGAAAACCCTTATTTTAAGCTCTGGGTCAAATGTATGCAATTCATTATTTTGAATAGTGAGTTGAGTTCATACTGAATATTTTTCATTAATATGTAATAATTATAATGTAAGATCGATCATCATTTTGCTCTTCATCTTGACTTGAGTGTGGCGATTCAAGTCAGTGATATAAAATTTAAAGACAGATATTATTTTAAGTTTAAATAAAAAGTGTATTTTCATGATTTAAAATATTTCGTCAAAATTATACCTTCATAATTATGAATTAAGCCTATCGGCTCCAAACTTTCTTCATATACACGAATAAAAGGTTTTCAAAGATGGATAAATGAAATTGTGTGTCATTTTTTCTAATCTGCTGGATAAAAATCACCACAGCGGACTCTCAAAATATTAAATCGAAATATATAAGAAATGCATCTCTGAAAATGAATCAACTTACAGATTGGCCATTTTTTATGCAACAAATATCACTGCCGCACATCCCACTACAGCAAGGGAAAGAGGTAGATAAGCACTAGAAAAATATTTATAATTCATGAGTGTATTTCAAAAGATTGCATTTATCATGCCAGTTTTACTCAAAAAAAACAACAACTTACAATCACACCGAGATCATCGCAATCCGTGCATATATTTCTTTGGCACGAACCTACGCAGCAATCAGCAGTAGTAGTGCACTAAATAATTTTTTTTAAATAATTTATTAGAATTTCATGATAAATTGCAATTCAACCAATTTCGCAAAAAATGAACCAGCTTACAGTACCACCGGCAAGTGTGCAATCGACGCATGCACCGCTGACGCACTTACCACAGCACTTAGTTTCGTTGTTGCACTAGACATTTTTGTAAAAATAATTTATGGAATTTTTCTTGATAAACTGCATTTCAACAAATCGGTTTCGCTGCAAATGAGCTAGTTCACAACCCCATCATTTACGAGGGCAATTTTATAAATAACATTCAACAAACATTGTTTCCCATATTAATTCAACATACTGGATGAGTAGCATTTTTGCATTTTGGTGAAACATCACTGCTAGAACTACTGCTGGACTGTGGAAATATTTATAACTTATGAGCAAATTTTAATAGATTTAAATCACCAAAGCTTGCTCCAGATTGGATTAACTTACACTATCTCCAAATACATTGTACTGAGTCAAAATTACACTTAGAAGTGCAACAGAACAGATAGTCACCAAATTGGTCTTCATTTTTGTTGTACAACTTTAGGCCAAACATCGAACAAAATGAATGTCAAACGAACGAACGAACAAAAAATATTTTTTTTAAATTGTCGAACGAACGAACGGACAAAACCTTTTTTTAAAACCATGTCGAACGAACGAACAAGCGTTCGAAAGTGTTCGACGGCTAACACTAGATATAAATAATAAGCGCAGTGATGACAATAAATGCATTTTCTGCTGACTTAACGGCGATCTGGTAAGTTGATTCATTTTAAGAGAAATTTATTGTTTGAATGTTAATTTAATATAAAATACTCGTCATGAACATTCAAACAATTATTTCTGTATCAAAATCACACGAATGTTTCCATTAAATCATACAATTCCATTCCCAGTTTCAACATTCAAATATTCAAAGCGATATTGCCAGTTAGAATTCGATTTGGGATATTTTTTTTGTCAATAGGGAAACGGAACAAATATTTCGTGTGCTAACCATCTTCACGGTAATCGATGACTTAACGCCGACAGATATGACCTAAAGTGTATGAAGGTCAGTCGAATAGCTCGCAGTCTGTGTGAAGCCGTCAGTCAGTGTTGTGCTCGCAATTTGCATTTTTGCTCACGTTGATTTTGTAAAATCCGCAAAAATAAAACGAATATTTAGAATGGCTGGAAAATATAAGATTGTGATGGTTCGTCACGGCGAATCGGAATGGAACCAAAAGAATTTGTTCTGCGGCTGGTTCGATGCCAACTTGAGCGACAAAGGTATGAAATTCATTGACATTGTACTGCAATAAATTACACTTACATAATAATGTTCGGCGATTGAATCATTCGAATTGCCGTCAAATTATAATGTGTCAACTCAATTAAAAGTGAAAAATGGGAATGATTTGTTGAAAAAATGAAAAAAAAATTTGGTTTTCAGTTAGAAGTTTGTAATTTTTATTGAAAAAATGATGATTAACATTAGCGAATTCGTTAGTTTTGTGTCAATCACAAAAATTGACCATTTTTATTCATTTGGTTGAGATTTTTATATAAAAAGACGCGGTTTCTTTCAAAAATGTGTAATTTTCAACCGAAAACTGACAACGTTCATTCAATTTTGTGACATTTTCATTCATCATTTGGCAGATTTTGTTCAGAAATTTCAATGTTTTGATCAAAAATCTTCGATTATTACACAGAATTCATTCATTCTCTTTCAAAAACTCTCAATTTCCATTAAAATCCAAATTTTCACCTAGAAAATCGTTCATTCCGATCCAAATTTCACAATTCTAACGCAATTTTTCGTAATTACAGGCAAAGAAGAAGCATTGGCCGCTGGCAAAGCCATCAAAGAGGCTGGTTTGAAATTCGATGTGGCCCATACATCGTTGTTGACCCGTGCCCAAAACACGTTGGCCTCAATTTTGGAGCAATCCGGCCAAACGGGAATCCCAATCAGCAAAACTTGGCGCTTGAACGAACGTCACTACGGTGGTTTGACCGGATTGAACAAATCCGAGACGGCCGCAAAATACGGTGAAGAACAAGTGCAAATTTGGCGCCGTAGTTTTGACATTCCACCACCACCAATGGAAGCCGATCATCCATACAATGATGCCATCACCAAGGATCCACGTTACGCTGGTGATCCAAAACCAGAAGAATTCCCCAAATTCGAATCACTCAAATTGACCATTGCTCGTACACTTCCATACTGGAACGATGTCATCGTACCACAATTGAAAGACGGCAAGAAAATCATTATCGCTGCTCACGGTAACAGCTTGCGCGGTATCGTCAAGCATTTGGACAATTTGTCCGATGAAGCTATTATGGGATTGAATCTACCAACTGGCATTCCATTCGTCTACGAATTGGACGAAAACTTAAAGCCCGTTGTGTCAATGCAATTCTTAGGCGACGAAGAAACCGTTCGCAAAGCCATCGAAAGCGTTGCTGCTCAAGGCAAAGCCAAGTAGAGCAACAAATCTAATCAACAACATCCAATTTGGTTCATTATCAAATTGCCGCTTCAAGCAACCCAAAACAAAAAAAATGTTACATTATTTATCATTCTGTAAGAATAAGAGTATTTATCAATAAAAAAATGTGTCATTTATTCACAACCAAAACCAATTGAATTTCGTTTGATAAGACAAAACTATGTCGACACGATGATTATTTTCGAAGAGAGAATTTTATTTGAGGAAAAAAGTTTTATAAGTTTGTGATTTCCGAGTGATTCTCAAGGTAATTGCTGATAAGAATGAAGAAATTTTCGTTGATTTTGAAGGTCACACACACACAATTGATAGAAATCTCGAAATCTCGAAACTCTCGCTATTTAAACATTACCTTTTATCTCATACTCTGTGTCAATTGAATGGTTCGATCTCAACTATTCTTCAAATTCAAACTCGAAATCATTCGGTTCAAATTTCCAATTCAACTTCCAATGCTTCCAATGCCATTTCGAATGGTCATTCCAATTTCCACTATTTCGCCTGCCTTCCAATCTGTCACTTTGACAGATACACTGGAACAAAAAGTCGGAGCGTCAACAAAGAAAAGGTGTTTTGTTTATTGTGACGAGAGAAAAAAAAGAGTTGTGTTTGCTGAAAAGTAGTGAAAAAATTCACCGCCCGAGACCATGTGTATCGATGTAGCGAGTCGAAAGCCGTATGGATTTCTGTTTAAAAATGATTTAAATGAATTCATTTACAGTTGCAGTCGATGTGACGAAGAGTTTAGTGCGAGTAATGATTTGGAGCAGCACACGGTCGGTCATGATGTGAAAGAGGAGAATGAAGCGGCCACAAATCAGGAGTTGGCCATTGATTTGGAACCGATTGAAGTATATCCGCCGAGTTATTCACCACCAGAAAATGTCAAAAATGAGGGAATCCCATTGGACAACAGTACAAAAGAGGAGATGGCCATTTATTTGCCGTTTGAATCACAGAAACTCGAGGTAACAATGGACGAAAAAGAGAGTGACACCGATCCTGTTGAACCATTAGGCGATGATTTTAATTCGTTTGAATTCCAAAACGAATCATCATCGGATGAAGACTTTTTTACGCCGGCAACCAAGAAAAAAGCCACAAAAAAAGTTGTGAAAGTTACAAAAGAATCGATGAAAAAAACATACCATTGTGAAATATGCTCACGCGTGTTTACATCACTCGCTCGCATTAAACAACACATGATTGCCGGACACGTTAAGAAAAAGAAACCGACGAAACGACCACTCAGCCCAACGTTGTGCACACTATGTGGCAAACACATTCGCGATATGAAGATCCATTTAAAAACTTTCCACTCGACTGAACGACCGTTTAAGTGCGACTTTTGCGAAGCGACATTCAAACAGAAAGTTCATCGAGACACACATGTACGGCAACACACCGGCGAAAAACCATACGTAAGTTGGATTTGAGGGATTGGTTTTGACGTTGAATTAGTACAATTAGAAGAATTGACTTGGTAGAAATCGAAATTAGTTGAGATCGCAAGTGTTAACCGTCAAATTCACTCAATTTTTTTTCAAATATAAAAAGAAAATAAAGCCAAAAAATTTGAAAAAAAAATCCTCTTTCTCCCCAGATTTGCCACTTATGCGGCCGAAGCTACCATGCACAAAGCGTTCTAAATGCACACATGAACCGATATCACTTGCACTTGAAGCCACACAAATGTGATCGATGTGGAAATGCCTATCGACAGCTCTACGAACTACGGGACCACATCAATTTGCATCATCTCAACCAGAAAATGTACCCGTGCGAAGTGTGCGAACGACGATTTGGCACCAGAAAGCATCTTCACCAACACATGCTGAGCCACGGTGAAAAACGATTCCAGTGTAAATTTTGTGATCAGAAATTTGCCACCACATCAGGTCGAAGGGGCCATGAAATACGGAACCATGGAGCTATTTAAATTAAATGGATCTATGATATTTAACATAATTGTGAACTATAGTTCTAATGAATAGACGGCACCTCACTAACAGAGTCGAAAAATAGATATTTGTTTAAATTCTATTTGGACAATTACGAAATAGGGAATTTCAGCACAGGATTTCGTTGATAAATTACAAAAATAATGAAATTTTAATAAGAAATTAAAGCATAGACCATAGCCAATGGCCTATGTGACTTTAATAAAAGTCTCCAATGCTGCATAGAAACGGAATTCCACCATCAAATTTATACAAAAAAAAATTGACAACGTAAACAATAAATGTAATATTGACCTATTTCTACTAGTTAAAAGCGACATTCTTTCAAACAGACTTCTATGACTGTCTTCACGACCATTCTTTACGATAATTTTTTTTTGGCAAATTGTCAATGACAAGTAAGAAAGTGCAACAAAAAATTGATTTAATCAATTTTGACATGGAATTTATTCAATTGAACAGTGTTTATTTAGGCTTTAAGGCAATTTGATTTAGAAATGAACGTACACAGCTTTATTTGATTATTTCTGGATTTTATTTCAATTTATTTTTAGACTGATTTTATTCAGTTGAGATAAAAAAAAAAACATTTAACAAAAAATTGAACACTTTTTTCATTTGCTTTTTTTTTTTGCTTTGAACAACATATTGTGTTTAAATTAAATTGTGTCAAAATTAAAGTATAAAAAAATATTCTGAAACAATTAATTTTATTAATTAATTAACAATTAATCATATTTTGAATTTTAAATTTTAAATTTTTTTAAATTAAACATATGTTGAATTTAATTTGAATGTAACAAAAAAACTCATGGGATGAAAAAAGAAAAATTACAAAATAGCCGATTAATTAAAAAAAATGAATGTTACACTGGATTGTCTAATACTGAACAGGGCAATAAATTATTATTATTAAAATTAAATAAAAAATTAAATAAAATTAAATTCCATTGAGTTCCACAAATCTCCCTTGATTCAATGATCATATTTCGATCATCAGTTCGAATATGAAAAAATATATTGCTAGGGGTTTCACGCAACTTAAAATTCATCTAATATTTCAATATTTCTCTCTTTTCTCTCACATTCTCTGGTATTCACCAAAATCCGTATTATTTCGAAATATTTCAACATTCGCCTTGAAAATTATGTTCTGGAAGTGACTTTTGGAGGATCCTCAGGATCGTTCAAAACTGCTCCCGGTTCTGGAAGTGGGTTTTGGTGGATCTTCAGGATGGATCAGACTGGGTTTGACAATGCCCTGGTCCATCCTGAGGATCCATTTCCAGAACCAGGAGCGGTTTTGAACACTCCTGAGGATCCACCAAAAACCACTTCCAGAATTTTTAGATTCAAAAAATTCTAAAAAATTCGAGTTTATGAATAAAAAGAAGCAATATCTATAGTTTACACATAAAATGATTTTATTTCCAGCTATTTAGTAAAATCTTCGGCCTTCGAGTTTGCGTGAAACCCCTAGATATATTGTTATTGTGCTATAAATTTGACCCTGTGTTTTGTGTCTACATCTAAATTGAACCCCTGAGCATAAAAAGAACGTATTGACTCTTCGCCGATGAATACGAAACGCAAAAAAATCGCCGAACAAAGTGAAACATCAATCTGTTCTTGGATCAATATGAAGCATGAAATCGTTGGCTTCTATTTTATTTACGTTGCGCTTTGTTTCGAAGCGCGGCAAGTGTTTCATTTTGTTTCAGTAACAGAACGTTGTATCACTTTGTTCGGCGACGCGCTCAATGTACTGTTTTGGAAAAATATGCATGATTTGATACAGTTTTGAGTCCATTGGTATGATGATTCATTTTAACACAACACCCATTCTATTTCGCTCACACTTACGTGCACTTTAACGTTGCTAAAACATGCACGTTCTTGTTTCTTTACTCCGCACATCTTTTTAACAGTGAAGCAGACTACTTTGTTATACGGGTAAAAATTGCACGTAAGTGTGAGCGAAATAGAATGGGTGTTGTGCGTGTTTTGGCAATGTATAGAGTTCACTATATAAACCAATGTATTCACAGCGGCGTGAACCCGCGTTCCGAGGATTTCATACAAACTTCCCATGTAGACGATCCGAAATAGGCAAAGGTCGAAAAAAAAAGTTTAAATTTTTTTCGATTTTCATATAGTATTTTTTTCTGCTCTATTGGTATTATCGGCACATCGAAATTCGCGCTCCTTATCAGTTAATTTTCACTTCATAGACAAATCACGACCAAAACCACCATTAAAATGAATCATCATACCAATGGACTCAAAAGTGTATCAAACATTTTGGTTTCAATTAAAGTGAAACACAATTTCTATAGTCAGCCGATATTTCACGATTCACTTTCAAGCGAACAGAATTTATGTTGCACTCGCACAAAACTGTATCAAATCATGCATATTTTTTCAAAACAGTACATTGAGCGTGTCGACGAACAAAGTGATACAACGTTCTGTTGCTGAAACAAAATGAAACACTTGTCACGCTTCGAAACAAAGCTTAAAGTAAATAAAATAGTAGCCAACGATTTCATGCTTCATATTGATCCAATAACAGATTGATGTTTCACTTTGTTCGGCGATTTTTTTTGTTACCATTTTGTATTTTTGATCCTTTTTTAACAAAAATTAACAACTGCCGTAATTTCCCCACAAATAATCTGTGTCAATTGGTTGTACACAAATGTAGTTGACTCCAAACAAATTAACATTTTTTTTCCGAATATTTATATTTTGTTCAATTTTTTTTTCATGTTTTCAAAATGTTCTCTGTTTGTTTTCTTTTGTTTAAAAATTTTCCGTTTTTTTTTTCAGATATTTCCTTCAGACAAAACTTTTTCTATGTTATTTTAATAATAATGAATTTTAAAAAATGATTTTTTTCTCCTCATTTTTTAAAAATTTATTCTTTATCTTCAATTCGATCATTTGACGTCGTTTTATTTCATCAACAAATGTCTTCGTAACCATGTCACTCTCTATTCTATGAAACTCCTCATTCAATTTTATGAAATCGTCTTTCGTGCTTCCGTCTGTTGTCGGCCAATGCAAACTTTTTATCGCAATGCCGACACTTGTGCACCTTTTCACCGTGTGTAATTTTATGTGTGCGTAGATAATGTCTGGTTGCAAAGTTTTTACCGCATGTGTCACACGTGTACGGACGTTGACCCGTATGAAATGCATAAATATGATCCTCAAGTAAATATGGACTATGAAATGATCGACCACAGTCTTCGCAACGATGCTTCTTCATAAATCGATGGACTCGATTTTCGTGTTTACGCCAGGTCGCTTGTGCACGAAACGTCATACCACACCGGCTACAAACGTACGGTCGTTCCCCTGTGTGCGTACGAATATGAATAACTTGATTTTCCTTACTTTTAAATGATATCTCGCAGAAATCACATTTATGTCGCACGTTTGAATGCTTTATTTTCATGTGATTCTCCAAATTTCTAGGTTGTTGACCACATAACGTACACTTTTGTCGCATCTCATTTGTTAGATGCCGATTTATATGCTTCTTTAATCCAAGTCTACTCTTGAAAATCTTATCGGGGCACATGTCACAGAAGAATATATCCGGTGAATATATGTTTTCGTCTGTTGGTTTAAGGTTTTTTGAACCTAACGGTCGACCTCGCTGTGTTCTTCGTATGGAAGTTTTCGATTTAGCCGGAAAGTTTTGCGGTGGTTTGACTGTGCTTTTCGTGACGACGTTTTTGGTCATATTTTTAAGAGGATTTTTTACGAAGTTTTCTACAGATTTTCCAACAAAATCTTCAGTTGGGTTTTTGGTAGAATTTTTAATTGTTTCAACGTTGTTCCCATCGCTTGAAATTAAATTTCGACCATCTTCAACAATTGAATCAGTTTCAAGCAGGTTTTCGTTACTGATTTCCGCTTCATACAATTCAAATATTTGAGTTGTGAGCATCGGCGTTGGAACAGAGGCTTGATTCGTCGAAATCATGGCTGGATCATCATTTGTAGAAGGAATACCGACTTGTATCGCCATCTCAATAGACTCGTACGGTATTTGGTATACATAATATATTAGATTTGGAGGCGGGGCTTCTGTATTCAAATCGATCAACTCTTCCGATAGATGAATCGTATTATCGACTCGTTCAATTAACACTTCTGGGCTATTTTCATTGGGCTTTTGTGCATTTGCATTAGAGTTATCTTTAATCGATTCTCTTTCAATTTGAATTGATCTCCCTTCATTTTCATTGGATACTCTTTCACTTTGCTCTTTTTCACTTTCCACCTCAATATTCAAACTGGTCAAATCAATGCCAGCCAAACAGGCAATCAGCTTATCATCGGTATTGTTTTTTAATTCGATTTCAATTGTGTCGTTTATGCTACGAAGATCAATATCAATCGATTCACCGCTACTGTGTCCACTGTCGTTATTGCTATTAGTGTTAATAAATTTGGTGTCGATAATTTTGCTGGTATTTTTATCACTATCACTAACTGAGTCAAAAACATTTCTTTCATTTCCCTGCATTTGAGGTAGATCGTTCAGTGAATGAACAATATTCACCGATTTTCGAATCATTTCTTCACTTTCTTTGACTTTGTTTGTATCATTGTCAAATTCCACTGCAATTGAACTATTGCTTCGGTTTTGCATTTCCAAACTCGCTTCAGATAAACCAATTTTGCTATTGTCCCCGGAATCAATGTCCGTTGAATTGTTGCTCTCGTGACTGTATTCAAAATTACCGTTAGTTGAAGCGTGAATGGAAGCAGAAGTCAAGGTACAAGTTGAAGTAAAAGTGGAAGCAAAATTTAAAGAAGAAGTCGAAGATGAAGTCAAGACATAAGTCGAAGTATAACTGTTCATGCTGCAATCACTGTCACTTTCATCGCCATTGAAACGTTTTTTCGTACTTGGTGGCGTTGGTAGCTGATTTTTCATCGATTTTAAAACCGTTTCCACGTGCTCTTCTTCGGTTCCGTTGCTAGAGTCATTTACAATTGATTCATCGTTTTCGAATGAATTTTCTTTTCTCTTCGACTTCGACTTCGTCTCTTTTTGAAAGCCTATAGTGAATGTTTCTATCCACAGATTGGTCTTACAAGCCATCACTCGCTCAATTACACCATTTTTCTTCATTCCAAAGTCAGTTTCACTCGAATCACTAACGTTTTTATTCCTCTTTATACGGTAACTCGCGGTATTTCTTAGGCTTTCATCACTGTTTTTCGCAGTCTGACCACCATTTTTATCTCTATCGTGTAATAGATCGATTGGTCTCTTATTACACCGCTGTTTATTTCTTTGAATCACCCGATTCTTTGGCCATGAACGGTATTTCCTAAGCACTCTTCGATTAAACTCTTCACTTTTTTGTTCAACTGATTCACAACGGCTAGATTTTTTATTCGCTGATCTCAACGACCTTTGTGGAACTGTTTCAATCGTCACAACTGACTTCACATTGACTTTACTTTTATTCCGACTTCTCTTGGCATTCGTTATTTCTACGTTTCTTTTTATTTCATTCACATTTTGTGGCTTTTTGTGCTTTTTCTGCATGACGTGTTCCTCTCTTTCTAACTTGTTTTGTTTTTCTTTCACTTTTGCCATCTTTTTCCGTTCTTCTTCCCCTTCTTCGCTTTTTATCTTCTTCTCTATTGCTTTTTGATTTGCATTCTCTTTCTTTTGATTTGGTTTCTCTATCGTTTTCACCATTTCCTCCACAATGTCTCTTTTTTGCCCTTTCTCTTCTTGTTTTTGACCATCGTTTTCTGTTTCATTCTTTTCATCTACCACATTCTCTTTTCGTTGCAATCTCGTCATTGGTGATCGATTTTTTCCTCTTTCTCGGCGCTAAAATTCCAATCTCCGCATCAGAAGACCGTTCGTTGTTTGTTTCGCTAATGATGTCAGCAACTGACAATATTTCATGCTACGGCAATCCATCAATGCTTGGAATGTCTTTATAAGTATTTTGATTTATGTTCGCTTCATTTTTAACGAGTTTGTTTAACCACTTTGTTTGTTCATTTGTTTTCAATACATTACATTTGGTATGATTTGCAAGTATCGTCGATTTTTTCCGAGTATTTTTGATTTCGCTTCGATCTTCGATCTCTTCTTGAGTACTTTTTTTTTATGTTTATGGCTTTCTGAAGTTTTAGTTTCAATTTCTTCTTGAATACTATTCTCAATCCACTGTTAATAATTATTCTCGAATTTTACTATCTTCACCTTTGGAATCGTTTTCAGTTTCGTCTTGTCTTGTCCAATTTTAACTTTACAACTTTAAATCCCATTCCACTCTCCCGTTCACTATCACCACTCACCACCTCAATACCTCCATACTTTCTGTTTCACTGTCGTCGTAATGTATGGATAAAACGATGTGAATCATCAATAAAAATGCCATCGTTAGCAAAGACTTCGATTAAGACAATCTGTCAAATGTGTGCGTCGGTCAAATGCACGGTCAAAATGTGTGTGTGTGTGTACAATTCCAATCCGGTGGTAACTTGATAATCACACCATTTGCCAACAGCAACTAACATTCAATGCAAAAAAAAACTGTGAAATAGTTGGAAAGTTAAAAAACTAAATCCCAATATCTTTTTGTACATTTTCGACGATGAAACACGATATTTGAACTGACTGCTTTGACTGATTGAGCTTGCGATAAGACACTGCTGGTAATCTCATCTATTAATTTGTTTTACGGTTTTTTGATCATTAAATGTCAAAGCGTTCGAATTAAATGTGTTTGCTCGTTGGAAGTGGATCTCTTCGAATTGAAACGCATTTATATCTGTGTGATTGAGATATGTATTTCAATCACGATGCGGTCGCCGCGAAAAGTGGGAGGAGAGGCGAGAAGAAGAGAGAACGGGAGAAAACAAAAAAAAGAGATTCAAGTGAACAGATTATTCGAAGCGATACTTGTGTATCTTAGGTATTAGCAGGTGCACCGCAGTCTTGCTGTCTACATTCATTGAATGAATAACAAGTTTTTCGGGCGTATTTCGCTTATTTGACACTTTTATTAGCATCACATCAATGTGAGATAAACATTATTGAGACGGCAAAATGAAAAGAAACAACACACAAGATAATTTCATTTGCAGAATATTTTCTTTTTGGGTTGTTTTTTTTTTTATTGAAGATCGTTAATCTTGATGAGCAATTTACATAAAATAAAAATTTGTTTTTTTATGGATTTAAACGACTCTTTAAAGTTGTATAATGGTTAATGGCTTATATGAAGGCTTAAAATATTTGATATATGATCTATTTGATCTTTCAACATTTGTGATAAGAAGAAGAGAAAGAGAAAACGGATTAAAAACTTTTTTACTCAAAGGGATATTGCAACTTTTTCGGCCAGAAAAAACGCCATCATTTACGTCGTGCCTGCAAACTATTTTACTGTACATTTAGATGGTAGAGCTTGAACAAAAGTTCGACACTATGCATAATCTTGGAAAGAGCTTGATAAACTTGATGAAATACATATATTTTATGCTCGTTGCAATACCCCTATGTTTTTACGTAATTATGATCAATTTGCATGAATTTTGCGAACTTTTTTTTTGGCAGAAATTATTTTGTGTTAATTTCGATTTTTGTTTAAAAAAAAATTGCAAAAAAACATACATTGTAATATTCGGCGAGTGCCACTAAAAAAAATATACACACTCATCTAATGCGTGAGACGCATGGTCACTCATTTAGTGAGTGAGACGCACGCGGTTGAGATGAAGCAAAACGAAAGAGGAGCGGGCAACTCCATATGAACGAACGATATAGCGCGCATATATTCGTCACTCTGTCGTTAGAATACGGACACAAACACAAACACGTAGTACCCATTGACTCTATGCACTAGTTGCGCGCTTCCCATTCGCTTTGCTTCATCCCATCCGCATGCGTCTCACTCACTAAATGAGTGACCATGCGTCTCACGCACGAGATGAGTGTGTATATTTTTATAGTGGCACTCACCGAATATTACAATGTATGCAAAAAAATGCATCAATTTAGTCTCGAATGACTCTCCAATTTCAATTCCATCTCTATTCGTCTCTCTTAATCCCTCTTGATCTCTCTTCGCCTATTTCCTCAAACACTTCATCCATTTCAGTTGACATTGAATCGTTGCTATTTCTCCGCCATAGTATACTGTTCAGCTACCTGTTGCCGCTATTTATTTTCGCAATTTGATGAATAGACACTTCGTGTTTGTGTCGATTTTCCGCTAGTTTAAACATTCGATCACAATGTCGACACTTCAACGCCTTTTCGCCGTGAGTCAATTTATGAATACGTAAATAGCTTGCCGAGTTGAAACCCTTGCCGCATATCTCGCAAATGTGTGGCCGTTGCTTGGTGTGAAATGCATTAATATGATCACGAAGTCGATATCGACGATGAAATGCACGATCGCATTGTTCACATGGATATTTTGGTACATTACTGTGTGTGCTGGTTTCATGTCGGCGACATAATTCATGTGAAACAAATGACATGCCGCAGGTGGCGCACAAATACGGCCTTTCTTTTTTATGGTTGAGAATATGTATGGCTAGACCATTCGAAAATTTAAATACCAATCCACACAAATCGCATTTGTGGACTGGTTTAACGGTATGAAACTTTTTCATGTGTCTTTCGTAGCCTTTGCGTATGACTTTGTCGCATAGTTCACATTTTTTCTTTTGCGATATGTGACAGCGCTGCATGTGTCTGGTGAGATTCATTTTGCCATTGAATGTCAGATCCGGGCACATTTCACAATAGAATACACCGGTGATTGGCCGACCGGTTTTTCTGATCGGGAGTTTCGCATCGTCATTTATACCATATTTGTTTACCACATCATTGTTCTTATTCCGTGCTACAGACGGTCGTTTTTTGCATGTTTTTTTCGTTCCGGGTGTGTATGTTTCGTTGCTATCTCTCCTTTTCCTCCATCCAACCGGTTGTCCTCTTTGTTTTTTCACAATTGATACTTTATCGCCCGCTTTTGCTGACTCATCACTGCTGTTCACATTGTCGATACCGTGATTCCCCAACAAATCAGCCAATGGTGTGTCGTCATTACTGGATTCTTCGACATATGCTTCACTCGATTCAAGCAATTTTGCTTTGTTCCCTTCATTGAAATTCGGTTTATCCGGTTCAATGACGTTTAATTCACTCCATTCTTCAACATTTTCATCGATTCGCTCAATTTCTACTTTCGTCGGCCCAGCTTCATAAACCGATGCATCAATGCTGTCCACAAAAATTTCACCATTCTCAAATACAGCTCCTTTACAGTCCTGATGCTCCGTCAGAATGTGCACTTCCAAATTGGATCCCGTCTCAAATTCACAATGGCAAGTTTTGCAACAGTATACGAATCGGTTGAATTCGGTCAGCAACAATAATCCACACGCTCGCTCAATTTGATCGATTGTAAAACACATTTTGAGGTGGAATTTAGTATGTTTATCGACAAAAATCACTCCATCTAATGGATTCAGATGAAATTCTTAATTTTTTTCGACTTTGTGTCTTTCTTTTACTCAAATATTCATTCGATTTATATTTAATTTACTTTTTTGGTGTTTTTTGTCTGTAGGCTTGTGTTGTTTTGTGCTCAATTGTTTATTTTCCATTGGAAATGACAATATGAGCTGTCAAAAGTAATGAATGTTCCAGTCGAAATGGGAATTTCGAAAGGAAATCGAAATAATCGGCTTTCCAAAGAGTTCATCTATCGAAACAAGGGAAAATGGATATAAACAAAATGATTTATGTGATTTAAACATGAATTAGAAATTGGAATTGGAATTGGAATTGGCATTATCATCACATCAATTTATTGATGGAATACATGCAACAAAGAGACAGTAAAAAACGACATAAAAATGATTTTTTCCTTCAAATAAAAATGTTTTTTTGGACTTTTTATTGCAAATGCGTAATCTTTAAGCTATTTACAAATATTAAAACTTGTACGATGTATATAAGCGACTTTTTCTTGTTTTATAGTGGTTTTTAGCAGGACTTAAAATTTAAGTCTTAAATAACACATCGGTCAATAAGTCCCGAGCCTAACCACCAAGTGGCAACACTAATGTCAAACCCATATCATTTTCGAAAACTACAACCTTTTTTAGGAATCCAGTCAAAATTTGAGCCAAATCCGACCATCAGTTCGCTAATTACAGCACTTTAAATGAAGCAATTTTCCAATTTTCCAAAATCATGGAAAAACTGCATTTCTCCTCTCGATTTGACACATGTATTCCAGAAGAAAAACGAGCAGGAGTACCAAACCCATACTATGATTAGTTTATGGCATCCTTAGGCTTTCGAAATCAATCATTAGATATGGAAGAATTGAATTTATGCATAGCCATAAGAGCGATTTTGTCGATAAGCCTCCAAATTGTTCAAAATATGTGGTTTTGGAAGAAATCATTGCCAAAATCCGTTAAGTGATATCGGAATTCTCAAATGTGATAGTTCATAGATTTGCTAAGGCCATAGGGCAACTAACTCAAGCTATAGTTACAACTTTGCATGGATATATGCATATGAAATACTCAATCGAAAAAGCCTTGCCGCGTTTTTGGATATGGAGTAGATAGAACAGTTTTTTGGGGATTCGAAGCCCGTTTGGAGCTGTATAAGTAAAATTTGAATAGGGTTTTGCCTTTATATATTAGAATTAATGTATTTTGAGTTCATTTGAATAGATTCGATCTATAAATTGCGGGTAGAAATCGCCAAAAACGGTTTGTAGCGACCAAGGTCGCAAAATATGAGTTCGGGCATTATTAGTGGATTTAGGTATAGAAAAATATTCGCGAACCAGTGGGAAAGATATAAAACAACATGAAAAGTCACTTATGCATCATTTTAGACCTATCCGAATGTCAAATCTTGATAAAACATAGCAAATTTGGCGAAGAAAACTATGTTGTTCAAATGCGAGTTTCATCCAGGTCAAAGAACTGTTTATATGGTGATATAATTGAACGAAATTGGTTTCAAACTGCTTCACTAACCATTGTATTTTTTAGGTCTGGTCATTCTCTGAACTCTCCACATGAATATACTTGAATACAATGCATCAGAAGAAAGTTATACCGTTTTAACGGCAAAATTGAAGCATTTTCGGGAGTCTTTCTCTCGTATAGCTGTAACTAGCAAACTGATGGTCGGATTTGGCTCAAATTTTGACTGGATTCCTAAAAAAGGTTGTAGTTTTCGAAAATGATATGGGTTTGACATTAGTGTTGCCACTTGGTGGTTAGGCTCGGGACTTATTGACCGATGTGTTATACTGTTTAATACTTGAAATATCTTTTTGAACTGAATATTTTTGATAGATGAAGAAGTAGAGAATTTTCACAAAAAAAATATTTTCTGCAGAGAATTTTTGAAGTCTTTGGAGACTTTTCAATTTCAATTCTATTTTCCTTGATCTTTTCCCCATCGATTGTGCTCCAAATTTCGTTAGTATTCAGTCGGTGCTTTTCCTCCGACATTGGTTCCAGTTTCGTTGACTCGTGTCACTATTTAATTTCTCAATTTTATGAATTGAAACTTCATGTTTGTGTCTATTTTCCGAGAGTTTAAACATTCGATCACAATAACGACACTTCAACGCCTTTTCGCCATGTGTCAATTTATGAACACGCAAATAGCTTCTCGATTTAAAACTTTTGGCGCATATCTCACAAATGTGTGGCCTTTCCGTTGTGTGGAATGCAATAATATGATCACGAAGTCGAAATCGTTTATAGAATGCACGATCGCACTGTTTACATGGATGTTTGCGTGCATCGATGTGTTTTATACGTTTGTGATCACGATATAACTGCTGAGAAACAAATGCTTTGCCACAGTTTTCACAGAGGAATGGTTTTTCTCCTTTGTGATGGAGCTTATGATTGACTAGACTGATGGAAGTTTTGAATGTGGCATCGCATAAATCGCAATTGTGCAGCGGTTGAACGGTATGAAACTTTTTCATGTGTCTTTCGTAGCCTTTTCTTGGGATTTTGTTGCATATTTCACATTTTCGCTTTTGCAGAACGTGACAGCGGTGCATGTGTCTGGTGAGATTCATTTTACCATCGAACATTAGATCCGGACACATTTCACAGTAGAATAGACCGGTGGTTGGCCGACCACCTTTTTTGTTCGAGAGTTTCGTATTGTCATTTATAGCGTATTTTGTCACCATATCACTGTCATAGTTCTTATTTTTTGCTCCTGGTGGTCGACCAGGTGGTCGTTTTGTACCAGCAATAATTTTTTGTGTCAATGCTTCGTTGCTATCTCTTCTTTTTCTCCATCCAATCGGTCGTCCTCTTCGTTTTTTCACAATTGACACATCGTCGTTTGCTTTAGTTGACTCATCACTGCTGTTCACATTGTCGAAACCATGATCCGCCACCAAATCAGCCAATGGTGTGTCATCTTCATCACTCGATTCAAGCAATATTGGTTCATTTAATTTTTCGTCTCGTTCATTTGATACTTCATTATTTGAATCAAATTGTTCAACTTCTATTTTTTGTTGATTCGGTTCACACGATTTAGTGAAACTTTCTTCATCCAGCTCATCGCCATTTGGTTCGTCACAATTTGATCCGATTTGCTCAAATTTAACATCTGATGGCCCAATTTCGTATCTCGATGCATCAAAATTATCCACAAAAACTTCACTATTCTCGAAAATTGCTTCCATATCGTCTTGATGTTTTGACAGAATGTGCACCTCTAAATTGGATCCCGACTCAAATTCACACTTACAACTTTTGCAGCAGTAAACAAAGGTGTTGAATTCGGTCAGCAGCAAAAGTCCACACGCTCGCTCAATTTGGTCGATTGTGAAACACATTTTTGGAGGAGAATTTAGTACGTGCGTCGACAAAAATCAGGCCATCTAATGGATTCAGATAGAATAATGAATTTTTTCCGGCTTTGTGTCGCTCTTTTACTCAAATATTCATTCGATTCACATTTAATTTATATTTTTGGTGTTTTTTATCTATCGGCTTGTGATGTTTTGTGCTTGATTGTTTATTTTCCATTGGAAATGACAATATGAGCTGTCAAAAGTATCGAATGTTCCAGTCGAAATGGGAATTTCGAAAGGAATGTCACATTCGAAATCGAAATAATCGGCTTTCCAAAGAGTTCAGCGGTCGAAATAAGGGAAAATGAATACAAACAATGTTACTTGAGCACTTAAGGAGAGAAATGAAACATTTGAATTTTATATATTTTAATAAGAAATTTTTGGCTTATACACATGTTTCTCATTCATTCATTACAATAAAATACAATGATAATCATTTTTTGTTAACCCATTCAAAGCCGTGATCTCTTTTTTCAATTTTTTCCTGCAAAGTTCTAAAAATTTGTCTTAAATGCAAACAAAATATAAAAAAATCTATTCAATTTTAAATCTTTGATAAAGGTGAGCATGCATACTTTTGGATTATAATGCGACCGATTGAAAATTCATAAGATTTTCCGTGGAAAACCTTGATTTCGTCACGACGTATTTTTTCAATACAAACACAAGAAAAACCATGGAAAGATTGTTTTTTTCATGTTTTCTGTTGTCAATGTTAATTTTGAGATCAAAAGATATGTATCTGTACATGCTTGGCTTTAAAACTTCATTCCGAAATAAAATAATAATCGAGTTGTTTGAAAATTTTCCGATTCATTCCCATGTGTTGCCCCCTAAATTTTCTTTGCCGAAATGCAAAATGCCCTATTTCATATTGTGCCGAACCAAATGGTATAAATTATATATTTTATGATAGATTCAACTTTTTTCTGTCATAAAAACGTCATTAGACGAGAAACGAAATAAAAATTGACCAATTTACGTGTTCTTGCAGAACATATTCAAAAACTGTTCCATATGGAACCATCGCTTTGATTGGGTTAATTGATCAAATGTGCCGAAATGATTTCGAGAAGGGCGTTTTCAATTGTAAATTTTATGTTGTTAAATGTAGTGCTTTTACTTTTTTTTTTATGTACATTGTACAAACAATTTTTTTGTGTAATCGGCTATCAAAAAACTGCTCCAAAATGGAAACACTCAAATCTTGGTCAAAAAATGAATTTTGCACAAATCGAATTTTTATCCAATGAAGAATGGATCCAATAAAGTGTAGTATTCAAATCAATTGCCGGTTTTCGTATATGTTATAACAATGTTATGCATCGATGTTTCATGCTTCAGTCGATTTCCTGCGAGTTTGAACATTTTATCACAGTATCGACATTGCAACTCTTTCTCGCCATGTGTAATTCGATGGATACGTGCATAGGTTCTAGAAGCGAAACCTTTTCCACATATATCGCACTGATGTGGCTTTTCCATTGTGTGAAATGCGTTCATATGATCTTGAAGTCGGTAGCGAACATGGAATGAGCTACTGCAATGTTGACACTTATATTTCCTTATATTTCTGTGTACTCTAACTTCATGGTTGCGATACAGTGCATGTGTGGTGAATGATTTGCCGCATGTGGCACATAGATAAGGTTTTTCGCCTGTATGTAAACGCAAATGGGCCTTTAGGCTCGGCTGACCTTTGAAAATGGCGTTACATATGTGGCATGTGTGCGGTTGATTCGGATGATGCTTAAGCATGTGTCGTTCGTAGCTCTGTCTTGGACGATACTTGCATATTTTACACCACTTTTGTAGTATATGACAGCGAAACATGTGCTTTTTGAGATTCATTTTACCGTCAAACGTTAGATCCGGACACATCTCACAGTAGAATATGCCAATCGTAGGCCGACCACCTCTTTTGGTCATGCTTTCCACTTTGTTATCTATGATATGGTAATTTTTGATGTCATCTCGTGCGTAGTTACGATTTTTCGATCCAACTGGACGACTAATTCGTTGCTTTCTACCTGCTTCTTTCGGATGACACTTTTTCATATGTCTTTCGTAGCCTTTTCTTGTAATTTTGTTGCATATTTCACATTTTCGCTTTTGCAGAACGTGACAGCGGTGCATGTGTCTGGTCAGATTCATTTTTCCATCGAACGTTAGATCCGGACACATTTCACAGTAGAATTGACCGGTGGTTGGCCGACCAGCTCTTTTGATCCGGGGTTTCGCATCGTCATTTATTGCGTATTTCGTTTCCAATGCATCGTCGTAGTTCTTATTTTTTGCTCCTGGTGGTCGACCAGGCGCTCGTTTTGTGCCAGCTTTCTTTTTTTCAGGTGTGAATGCTTCGTCACTGTATCGCCTTTGTCTCCATCCAACCGGTTGTCCTCTTCGTTTTTTCACAATTGACAATTCGTCGTTAGCTTTGATTGACTCATCACTGCTGTTTACGTTGTCGATACCGTGATTCCCCAACAAATCAGCCAATGGTGTGTCGTCATTACTGGATTCTTCGACATATGCTTCACTCGATTGAAGCAATTTTGACTCATTCAATTCTTCTACATCGGTTTGTTCAACTTTGACATTGGTTGGCCAAATTCCATATTCTGATATCGCCGGATTCGATGCATATGGATTAAAACTTTCCACAAAAACTTCACTATTCTCGAAAATTGTTTCCATATCGTCTTGATGCTCCGACAAAATGTGCACTTCTAAATTGGATCCAGACTCAAATTCACACTGACAACTTTTGCAGCAGTAAACGAATGTGTTGAACTCGGTCAGCACCAATAATCCACACGCTCGCTCAATTTGGTCGATTGTGAAACACATTTTGAGGCGGAATTTAGTACGTGTATCGACAAAAATCAAACCATCCAATGGATTCAGATGGAATAATGAATTTTTTCCGGCTTTGTGTCTTTCTTTTAATCGAATATTTATTTTTCCCACATTTAATTTACTTTTTTGGTGTTTTTTGTCTATCGGCTTGTGATGTTTTGTGCTTGATTGTTTATTTTCCATTGGAAATGCCAATGAACTGTCAAAAGTATCGAAATTTCTAGTCAAAATTGGAATTTCGAAAGGAATGTCAAATTCGAAATCGAAATAATCGGCTTTCCAAAGAGTTCAGCGGTCGAAATAAGGGAAATTAAATATAAACAAAATAACTTGAGTATTTTGGACATAAACAAAATATTGAAATTCATTTTTTTTTCTATTCAATTAGAAAACAGCCATTTTTCCACATTTTCATTGTTATTCGGATTTTATTTTTTTTGTAAATTTTTCTAATGAATAAAAGTTTCTTCTTAATCAAATTGTAATTGTCGTCCTTAATCCAAACAAAAAGTTTCCTATCTTAATCAAAATCGATGAGCTAAACGAAGTAGGTTCCATTTACTGTTTGCCGAATTCATCATTGTTGTGCCTGTTCTCGGTTCATGAGGAATTCCATCTTCATCCAATTTTCACTTCTTATCCCTGATCTTTCTTCGTCAGCATTTCCATCTTCATTCGATCACTTTTTTTGTACATGTTCATAAATTTGCCATCGACCATAACTACTTTCCTATGATAGACCATTTCGTGTCGCCATCGACTGGTTCTTGTTTTAAAGGCAGTTTCACAATATCTGCACTTAAGCTTTGCTTCCCCGTGACTAGCTTTGTGTATACGTAGTGAGTCCTTTGTAGAGAAATTTTTATTACAAACGTCACATGAGTACGGCCGTATCTTCGTATGAATTGCGTTGACATGGTCTTGAAGACGTTGTCGTGTGTCAAACGTTTTTTCGCAATAGGAGCATGGATGTTTATGGACTGTACTATGCACGCCTCTTTCATGAATGAAACGTCTCATATTTGAAGCGAATGCTTTGCCGCAGATGGAGCAGAGATATGGCTTTTCGCCAGTGTGTTTTCGCATATGAATGACTCGAGATGTGTTTTGTCTAAAAACTGCATCACAAATGTCGCATTTAAATTGCAGTTCCGAGTGCTTTATTTTCATGTGATGCTCATAGCTTATCCGTGGAAATTTGTGACAAATTTCACATTGCTTCAACTTTTCTGCAATATCTTTACGTATATGACGGCGAGTCATGTGTTTTTTCATACCCGTTTTTTGTTTAAATGATAATTCCGGGCACATGTCACAGTAAAATCTTTGGTTGCTATTTTCTAACTTTTCGATGGGATTCTCTGTTCCAGGCGGACGTATATGACGGAGAGTCATGTGTCTTAATAACCCCTGTTTATATTTGAATGATATGTCAGCGCACATGTCACAATAAAACCTCCGGTTGCTCATTTCTAACGTGTTGGGCGGGCGTCCAACTGATCGTTTCGGTGTCATTGCTTTGATCGCTTCATTGATGATGGTTTGCTTATTCTTCGTTCCAGCTGGACGACCTCTTGGTTTGTGTGGTTTTACTTCAATTTTCTGTCTTTTCAGTCCCGGTGGACGACCTCGTGATCGTTTCTGTGGCATTGACACATCATGTGCTGTTTGCAAAGAACTGTGGCCAACTGATTCAATTTCGACTGTTCCATTTGCCACTAAAATCATTTTTTCTTCCGAATTCACTGCATCTTGTGGTTGTTCTTGATGAAACGATACTATTGTTTTATTTGTCTTCTCAACGCTGTTGCAGCCAATATCAAAATGTGCATTCGCCAACGAAACTGAAAACGGTTTGGCATATTCAACACATGATTCTTCCACATTTAGCACATCTGACTCTTCAACATTCGATTCAAATTGCTCAATTTTTACTTTTGATGCGTCGAGTTCAATTGGTGTTGGCTCGAAGCTACAATTATCCACCAAAACGTTACCATTCACAAATACCGCTCCTTTATCATCTTGATGCTCTGACAAAATGTGCACCTCCAAATTGGGCCCGGATTCAAATTCACACTGACAATTTTTGCAGCAGTAAACGAATGTGTTGAACTCGGTCAGCACCAATAATCCACACGCTCGCTCAATTTGGCCGATTGTAAAACACATTTTGGAGGAGAATTTAGTACGTACGACGACAAAAATCAGGCCATCTAATGGATTCAGATGGAATAATGAATTTTTTCCGGCTTTGTGTCTTTCTTTTAATCGAATATTTTTTTTTTCCACATTTAATTTACTTTTTTTGGTGTTTTTTGTCCATCGGCTTGTGGTGTTCTGTGCCAAATGTTTTTGTTTCTTTGCAAGTAACAATGAACTGTCAAAAATATCGAATGTTCCAGTCGAGCCGACCGAATCGAAATTGGAATTTCGAAGGGAATATTCGAAATCGAAATAATCGGCTTTCCAAAGAGTTCAACTGTCGAAACGAGGGAAAATGAATATAAACAACATTACTTGAGCCCTTGAGCACTTGAGGAGACAAATGAAACATTGGAATTGGTTTAATTTTTATTGAAATTTATTGAATTTTATTCATTGAAATATTTGATTAAGAAATAGGCATTTTTCCACGTTATCATTGGTATTTACATTTTTATTTTTTCTACACATTTTTCTAATGAATAAAAATTTCTTCTTAACTAAATCGTACCTAGTTAGGTATTAAGCACTAATCCAAACTAAAGATGAACTTTTTTTCAATTTCTCAATAAATTCATAAACGAAATGAAGAAATTTCCATGATCTCTTTGCCGAATTCATCATTGTCATCTCGGCTCATGAGCAATATCATCTTTATCTAATTTCCTCTTCTTATCCCTGATCTTTTTTCGTAAGCATTTCCATCTTCATTCGATGACTCTTCTTGTACATGTTCATAAATTTACCATCAACCATAACTACTTTCCTATGATAGACCATTTCGTGTCGCCATCGGCTTGCCTTCGCTATGAACATTTTGTCACAGTATCGGCACTTTTGTTTCGGTTCTTCGTGCGTTGCTTTGTGAATGTTCAATGATTTGCGTGAAGCAAAATCCTTGTTACAAATGTCACACACATACGGTCGTTCCTTTGTATGGGCTGCATTTATATGATTTTGAAGAAGCGTCCGTTGAGAATACGATCGATCGCAGTATGTGCATTGATGCCTTTTGACTTTACTGTGTACAACAATTTCATGTGCGTAACAACTTGACTTTGAATAGAAGGCCTTGCCGCAGCTTGTGCACATGAACGGCTTCTCTCCAGAATGTTTTCGCATATGAATTTTTTGTGTCATTTTGTGCTTGAACTCAGCATCGCAAATGTCGCATTTGAATCGCAGTTCCGAGTGCTTTATTTTCATGTGATGCTCATAGCTAATTCGTGGAAATTTGTGACAGATTTCACATTGCTTCATCTTCTCTGCAATATCTTTACGTATATGACGGCGAGTCATGTGTCTCAATAAACCCTGTTTCTGTTTGAATGATAAGTCAGGGCACATATCACAATAAAACCGCTCGTTACTATTTTCTAACTTGTTGGGTTTCATTGGTCCACGCGGGCGTCCAACTGGCCTTTTTGGAGTCATTGCTTTGATCGCTTCATTGATGTTGGTTTCCTTATTCGTCGTCCTATGCATGGATTTTTCATGGAAGAAACGTCTCGAATTTGAAGCGAATGCTTTGCCGCAGATGGAGCAGATAAACGGCTTTTCGCCGGTGTGTTTTCGCATATGAATGACTCGAGATGTGTTGTGTCTAAAAACTGCATCGCAAATGTCGCATTTGAATCGAAGTTCCGAGTGCTTCATTTTCATGTGATGCTCATAGCTGATTCGTGGAAATTTGTGACAGATTTCACATTGCTTCAGCTTTTCTGCAATATCTTTACGTATATGACGGCGAGTCATGTGTTTCAACATACTCGATTTGTGTTTGAATGATAAGTCAGGGCACATATCACAATAAAATCTTTCATTACTAATTTCTAACGTGTTGGAATTCATTGGTCCACGTGGTCCTCCAAATGACCATTTCGGAGTCATTGCTTTGGTTGCTTCATTGATGATGGTTTGCTTATTTTTCGTTCCGGCTGGATGACCTCTTGGTTTGCATGGTTTTTCTTCAATTTCCTTTCTTTTCAGTCCCGGTGGACGACCTCGTGGTCGTTTTTGTACAATTGATACTTCGTCTGCTCTTTGCAATGAACCGTGGCCAACAATTTCGATTAATTCATTTTCCACCGAAACATTCTTCCATTCCGAAGCCACTTTTACTCGTGATTGCCCGTGATGAATTGATACGTTTGCTTCTTTGTTTCCAATTCCCAATGAATCATGCCAAAAATTTTCTTCCGAATTCACTGTTCCCAGCGGTGATTCCTCTGGCGCCGGTTCATCTTTGGCTATATTTGTCTCAATGCCATTGATGTCATCGTCGAAATTCTCATTCACCAGCAAAATTGGAAGCGGTTTGGCATAATCTACATACAATTCAACCACATTTCGTTCAATTGACTGTTCAGCGTCTAGTCCAAATTGCCCAAGTTTTGCATTTGTTGCTACACAGTCGATCGGCGTTGGCTCAATGCTACAATTATCCGTCCAAACGTCACCGTTCACAAAGATAGCTCCTTTATCGTCTTGATGCTCTGACAAAATGTGCACTTCTAAATTAGATCCAGACTCAAATTCACAATGACAACTTTTGCAGCAGTAAACGAATGTGTTGAACTCGGTCAGCACCAATAATCCACACGCTCGCTCAATTTGGTCGATTGTGAAACACATTTTCGCTTAGGAATCACGGCTTTTGAACCGAGTTTTGATACTGGTTTTGATGAATTTCTTACTTTTTGCTTTTATTCTGCTCAGCTTGCTATTTATGATAAATTTTTATTCCGCTTGCTTATTCTTCTGACTGTGACTGAGAAATGTCAAAGCAAACATTTGCTCGGATCGAAGCTGGACTTTCAAATGTCACATTCCAATATTCGTTGTTTCGAAAATAGCTTCAATTCCGAAAGTTTCAATAATTTCAATGGAAGCTAAAGAAAGGGAATTATTTGAAAAACCGAAAGAACAAACGAACTATTTGATACAGGGAAATTTCAATTTTTAATTCAGTAGGAAAAATTTATTTTCATTATTCACCGATCGATGCATACATAAAATTTAACAAATTTGAATCATGAATGACGTAATTGAAAGAATAATTGACTTTATTTTGTATGATAAAATAAGTGAACATTTTGATGAGTTTGAAAAAATTGGCCGTTTCATTTTACCATTTTCCAACGGCCATATCTTGGCCAAATGCCGGCCGATTTTGATGTTTGAGGCCAAAAATGAAATCTATTTTTCAAGACCTTTCCAGTGATGTACATTACTTTTTGATCCGTTGGCCCGTTAAAAAACTCATTTTTGGCCGCCATTAATAAATGGCCAAAAATGGCCAAAGGCCGGCCAAATGTTGTCCTCAAAATGTTTCATTCAGTCTGAATTTCAATAGGCTATCAGATTAAAACCCTTATTTGGGTTGAATGGGACAAAAAGACATTAAAATATGGATTTTATAGTCGTACTCAAACTTTTGCACGGCACTGTATGTATTTAAAATAATATAATTTAATGCTAAAAATTAGATTTCGCTTCTTTTCAACATCGCTTTACTACTGTGTCCATGTTTCTTCTATATTAGAAAATTTAATCCATTATTACTAAGTTTACCTCTATGTTTGATATTATGATTCAATGCATCACATCGGACACCTCGTTTAATCTCAATCAAGCCCCGATTAGTTCGATTTTTGGCCCATTTCACCGCCAGATAAATCTGTTCGTCAACATAAATGGTGACTTTTCTTGCGTTGATCAATTTCGGACGTGCTTTGTTCAGTTGTTCAACGTTGAAAATATGTTCATCGTTTTTCTTCACATGAAACACATCGATTTTTGTCAATTTGGGCGAAAAACGGACGAATGGTTGAATGTCATCGACGCTTGCTATAGCGAATTGAATAAATTCCAGATTAACGAGTGCCTCAGCCAGTGCCCTCTTATTTGTAATCTCACTAGCCATGCTAATGCAGATCTGCTTCAGGCCAATCAATGGAGATAGATCGGTTCCGTCTTGCATGGAGCCAACGAACAATTTTGTTAGACCGTTGAATGAAATCAGTTCATGGACCATTGCTTGGTTGAAAATGGAAGTTCCATTGAAATAAATGTGCAACTCTTTGAACAGACCGCGTTCATGTAGCTCATTTAAAATGTCTCGCAAACGCTCGAACTTAATACATCCGGATCGAATACTCAATACATCCCATTTTGCTTTAGTATCTTCTAAGATGTTTATGTGCGCTAGAATAAAATCCGTATTCGTTGCAAATGTTTTGATGTTGGTGTTCTGTTCGAAAAATTCCGCCAATTCGTCGACCGTTCGGTTTCCGTATTCGTAATTTTTCAGCTCAAAATGTTCGAGTGTTGGGTATTGTCGCAAAAGCCATCCATTGTCACGGCCAACAATTGGTATTTTCATTGATTGAATACATAGCTTCTTAACATTTGTGCAGTATTGAGGGAAGCTGACGTAAAATTCTTGGTTCGGAGAGGTGAAACGAGGATTAACCAATTTCACCGTTTCCACTTGACCCAAAATCTCCTTTATGCGTGATATTCCGACATCGCTAAAAGTAACATTTGTTAGACGGATTTCCGTGAGCGATTTGAATTGATCTGCTTTCATATGATGAGCACGTTCAATTATACATTGATCGTATGTAAGTTTTTTCAAGTAAGAACTCAATTCATCCAATTTTATGTTACGATTTGCCACACGAATGCTGGTAAAATTACGATAGAAATTAATTTCAGCATAAGTCGCCCTAATGTAGTAACCGACAATGTGTTGAATCCGTTTGCACGTTTGGCTAAGCGCCACCAAGTCTTTCAGCGACAACCAGTCGAATAACTCTTCGAAATGATCGAATTTTAACGTGAAAATCCCCGCTTGCGATTGGTCATTTGGGTAGACGTTAGCTGATGCACTTATCAGGCTCAATTCGACAACCTGTTTTAAAAGTCAATTATTGATTGTATCAGTTGTTGTATTTCTAAAAGAGAGTGCAACAGTTTTTTTTCATGCGACCGATTGTTACTCACTATTCAGCTTTCTATGCTAATAACAACTCAAATGATACTCCAACCCAACTCCGATTCACACTGATGGCTTTTGCAGCAATAAAGAAAGGTGTTGAGCTCGATCTGCAGCAATAATCCAAACGCCCACAAAATTTAATTGATTATGTGTAATCCAACACAAGTATCGAATAAAAGTCACGTATTTTGCAATCGCTATTACTTCTTTTGTATTATCTCGTATCAATTGGTTGATATTCTAATAGTAGCGACGATCAAATGTCAAAACCATTGAATGTTTCGGTGGAAACTGGAATTACGAAAGGAGCTACGCATTTAAAATAGAACAAAGAGACATTCTAAGAGACGAAGGGAATATGAACACAACTGTCCGACTGTCAAAACAGGGGAAGATGAATATAAACAAGTTGATATTTGTGATTTATGAGCAATTACATTGGAATTTATTCAATTTCATTATAATTTGAGAGAGAAATGGGCACTTTTTTCAGATTTTCATTGATTTTTTCTGTTCGGAGCATTTTTCACCCTTTTTTTTTTTTTTAAATGAATGACTAAATTGAATACTTTGTCCAATTTTCTTCCACTCCAGTCAATTCATTAGCTTATTTACATAAGATCGTATAGTACGAAAATTACTTCAATGCTTAAAATTAATTTTTGCTTTTTCCAATATCCCTTGGCTGCTGCACTTTCGTTTCTTCTATAATAGAAAATTTGTACCCTGCATATGATTCAATGTATCACATGATGCGCTTCGTTTGATCTCAATGAAGCCTCGATTGGTTTGATTTTTGGCCCATTTCACCGCCAAATAAACATGTTCTTCAACATAAATGGTAACTTTTCGTGCGTTGCTCAATTTCGATCGTTCTTTGTTCAATTGTTCAATGTTGAGAGTGTGTCCGTCTTTTTCCTTCAGATGACACACACTGATTTTGGTCAAATTAGGCGAGAAACGAATGAACGGATGAATGTCATCGACCCTTGCATCCACGAATTGAATAAATTCCAGATTGACGAGTGTCTCGGCCAGTATGCTCTTATTTGTGATATTATCAGTCATGAGAATGTGGAGCTGCTTCAGGCCAATTAATGGAGATAGATCGATTCCATTTTTCATAGGGCCAATGAACAACTTCGTGAGACCATTGAACGAAGTCAACCCATTGACGGTTCCTTGGTCGAGATAACTTTCATCGAAATAAACGTGCAACTGTCTGAAGAGACCGCGTTCGTGTAGCTCATTCAAAATGTCCAGCGACCAGTCGAATTTAAAAATAGAATTCCATTGAACACTCAACACATCCCATTTAGCTTTAGTATTTTTGAAGATGTTTTTGTGCTTTAGAATAATATCCGTATTCGTTGCAAATGTTTTGATGTTAGTGTTCTGTTCGAAAAATTCCGCCAATTCGTCGACCGTTCGGTTTCCGTATTCGTAATATGTCAGCTCAAAATGTTCGAGTGTTGGGTATTGTCGCAAAAGCCATCCATTGTCACGGCCAACGATTGGTATTTTCATTGATTGAATACATAGCTTCTTAACATTTGTGCAGTATTGAAGGAAGCTAACGTAAAATTCTTGGTTCGGAGAGGTGAAACGAGGATTTATCAATTTCACCGTTTCCAGTTGACCCAAAATCTCCTTTATGCGTGATATTCCGACATCGCTAAAAGTAACATTTCTTAACCGGATTTCCGTGACCGATTTGAACTGATCTGCTCTCATATGACGAACATGCTCAATTAAACACTAGGGGCTAATGAGTATTCGAAAACGTTCTACGTTTCGGAAAAAAATGACTTTATTCGTATTTTAAAGCAAGCATTCGCAACGCTCCCATATAAAATGTATGGAAGCATTCGCAGTGGCATTCGTAAACATTCGAATGCGAGTATCACGCGAATGCGCTGCGAATGCGGCGCGAATGTTCACATACATTTTATATGGGAGCGTTGCGAATGCATGAATCTACACGAATGCCAGTGTCAGCTGTCAATTCAACGCTGAAACATGTCGAACAAAGATCCTTTTACGGGAAAACTGCGAAAAATAGTAGGCCAAGTATTACCACGTGGATTAGACAAAATATTAATCGAAGCTGGTTTCATAATAAATATGCATCGGACGAAGCGTTGTTTTACATTGAGCAAATTTGTTTTTTTTTCAATCACCGCCGTCGCAACTGGTTCTGTATGATTCCATTGTAAATGCGTTGTGTGTATGTCGTTTACACATCATATCAGCTGTGCGAGAGCACGACCAAAAATACTATGTCGCGCGAATCGATACATTCACGGTTACAGTCACCAATTTTTTTCGTCAATTCGCCGGCAAATGATTTCTTTACGCTCGTATACATGCTTTGAATGAAGAATCCGATTTCATTTCACAGCGCATTCAATTTCAATCCAAAGACAAAGATGCAGAAGCATTCAAAGTCGTGGGAGAGCGCGATCGGGCGCGAAATTTTGAGCCACTTTCTTTACATGCAGGCAATGAAATAAACACTTCCTTCATTAAAATTGCCAAATGTTCAAAGTGACTTCTTCAAAACACTAAAATATGATTAAGCGCAATTAAAAATTAAGACAACAATGATCAATAAAATGTCCCTAATTCGATATCCTTTTCTACCTCTTTTTCTTTCTTCTGCAATTTGATTTTTTTCCTCCATCACGTATTAAATAAGTATTCCAAATGCAGAACAGAGTGAGTAAATAAATTCTTAATGAAAACAACGCGTCTTGATGTCGTTTGAATATGAGAGTACAGACATTAGTGAATGATAGCAAATGATACATGATGCTGACTCGCTCACTCTTGGATGAAAATCTTATGTTTGTAATTTATATCGTACAAACAGCGTGGCATTTCGCTTTGCTTTCGATCAAAAAAAATAAAGCGCAACTAAAATTGCACACAAACAAGCATTCACACAAAGGTTCTCTTCTCTACACATTACTTTAAATTGAAACACACGCGGTGTTACATCTTGATTTTTTTCGTTTTCGTTTCAAATAGAAATGCTTCCAATTCAAGTCTTACTTTTGCCCTTACCCATTCAAATTTTGGTTGAATTATGTTGAGAACATTTTTTAAAATGGCAAATTTATTCATTGTTTTTCATCAGAGCGCTATGAAGAAGCCGTTGAATACATGAACCGTCTGCGTAATATCGAGCCATCGGTATATTTAAGTTTGAATTTGCTTACACCTTCATATGAAGTATTTTCTAGAACCGAAAGATCGTCATTCACAAATTGTTCAATGTCGTTTACTGTGTCAGGCGTAATTGTCCAAAAAGATAATTCGGAATCAAAAGCGCATGCATCCAAGATTTTTACGATATCATTTGGTATTTTCTCCTTCAACAACTTCTCCAACTCCAGAAAAACATTATTTGATGCCTAAAAAACTTAATCATTTAAAAAAATTTCACACATAAACAAAACAAACATAATTAATTACCATTTTTAACCGAAAAAAAAAATAAATTGACATTTGTAAGCAAACCAATCACAAGCATTCGTAGCCATTCGTATTTGATACGACGTATTCGCAAGGTATTCGTATTTAGTGCGTGGCATTTGCAGCACTCGCAGCCATTCGTATTTCAATACTTGGCATTCGCAGCATTCGTAGCCATTCGTATTTTAGTACGTGGCATTCGCAGCATTCGCGAGAGTCATATGCCCCTAGATTAAACATTGATCGTATGCAAGTTTTTTCATGTATGAACTCAATTCATCCATTTTAAGATCTCTCACATAAATGCTGGTGAAAAAACAATTGAATTTAACTGCAGCATAAGTTGTCTTGATGTAGTAGCCGGCAATGCGTTGCATTCGTTTGCACGTTTTACTTAGTGCCACTAGATTGTTTAGCGACAACCAGTCGAATAACTCTTCAAAATGATCGATCTTCAATTTGAAAATTTCCGCTTGCGATTGATTATTTCGGATGACGTCAGCTGATGCACTGCCAACGCTCATTTTGGCAACCTGTTATAAAAATCAATTTTTAATTCTTTTATATGTCGTATTCTTTTTTATATATATTCTTCAAGTGACCGATTGATACTTACAGCTTTCTGCGCTAATATGACTAATAGTATTCAGTAAATTCACGTGGAATCTTTTTCGACCGCTCCTATTCTTCTTCTTCTTCTTTTTCAGCTCCTCTATCGTCTACGGCTCTGACTCAAATGATACGCCAATCCAACTCCGATTCACAGTGACACCTTTTGCAGCAGTAAACAAATGTGTTGAGCTCGATCTGCAGCAATTATCCAAACGCTCACAAAATTTAGTTGATTATGTGCAATCCAACATATGTATCGAATAGAACTCACATATTTTGCAATCGCTATTACTTCTTTAGATATTTTATTACTTTTTTTTCGTTTTTGTAACTATTTTCTGGTGCGATGTGTATTATCTCGTGTCAATCGGTGCATATTTTACTAGAAACACAAATCAAATGTCAAAAACATGGAATGTTTTGGTGGGAACTGGAATTACGAAAGGCGCGACGCTTTCGAAATTGAACAAAATGACGTTCCAAGAGACGAAGGGAATATGAATACTCTGAGAAAAGAAATTTAGGGTTATGTTAAACGTTTTTGTTTTGACGCTTATTTCACAACAAGAACTTGAAAACATTGTGGCGATTTTCGGTATCAAATATATTTTTGCCGCTAGAGCACCACAATGTTTTTTTTGACTTTGTAGTAAAAAAAAAGTTATAAATATTTTTGGTACCAGAAATCACCGCAAACTTTTTGAATTCATGTTGTGAAATAAGAAATTTCTTTTCTCAGAGTACAACTGTTCGACTGTCAAAACAGGGGAAGATGAATATAAACAAATTGATGTTAGTGATTTATGGGCAAATACATTGGAATTTATTCAAATTCATTATATTCTAGATAGAAGTGCACATTTTTATTGGTTTTTTCTGTTTAAAATATTTTGCTTCTTAAATGGAATACTTAATCTTCCCCGCGGTCGCTTATGCAGAGTTTTGGTGCTTCGCGTGCTCTTTGCAAGGAACTGAATGTTTATTTTATATTGATAAACAACTCATAGTAACTCCATCTGAAATGATATCAAAGTAGTTGTCCTTCAAAATGTATTGTCGGGATTGTCCATGTAATCGAAACTATGGTTCAATGTATCATATGATGAGCCGCGTTTTATCTCAATCAAGCTCGTTTGATTTATGGTCCATTTCACGGCCAAATAAACATGTTCCTCAACATAAATGGTAACTTTTCTTGCGTTTGGCAATTTCGATCGTTCCTTGTTCAGTTGTACAAGGTTGAGAATAAGTTCATCCGGGTCTTCCTCAAGGCGAAACACAACAATCTTTGTCAATTTGGGCGAGTGGCAAATGAATGGCACAATGTCCCTGACATCTGACGCATAGCAAAAATGAATGAATTCAAGATTGAAAAGCTTCGTGGCCAGCGTTTTCGTATTCGCAATTTTATAAGCTCTGTGAATGTAAAACTGCTTCAGGGTAATCAATCGAGATAAATCGGTATCGTTTTCAATGCCTTGAACGTATAACTTTGTAAGACCTTTGAATGAAGTCAACTCATTCACTGATGCTTGATCAAAATATGTATAAGGGAAGAGCGTACGAAAATACACATGTACTTCGTTGAACCTGCCTCGTTCGTAGAGTTCATTCAAAAGATCTCGGGATGGATTAAATGTGTTTGTATTACAGAATCGAACGATTAAAACATCCCATTTAGCTGGAATTGTTTTAAATGTGTCGCTGTTCGCCAAAATCATTTCTACATTCGTCGCAAAACGTTTGATGTGGGTGTTTCGTTCAAAGAATGTACTCAATTCGTCGATGGGCCCAGTTTCGTCTTTATCCATTGTCAACTCAAAGTGTTCGAGTGTTGGATATTCTCGCAGAAGCCAACTATTGTCAGCGCCAACAAGGCAACTATTACTCGATCCCTGAATGCACAACTCCTTTACGTTGGTGCAGTATTTCAGAAAATCACCATAAATATCTTTGTTGTCATCCAGAGAAAGCGGAAAGCACAATTTCACCGTTTCCAGTTGACCCAAAATCCCTTTTATACGTGATATTCCTGCATCAGTGAGTACATCGGTGGGTAACAGGATTTCGGTGAGCGATTTGAATTGATCGGCTTCCATGATTGGAACATACTCGAGGTTATGAAACGTAAGTTTTTTCAGAAATGAACTCAATCCAGTCAATTTGAATCCTTGATATCCTCTTTCGATACCATCACTTGTACAGTTGAATTTAATTGCAGCATAGGTCGTTTTAATGTAGTAGCCGACGATGCGTTGCATTCGTTTGCACGTTTTACTCAGTGCCACTAGATCTTTAAGATACAACCAGTCGAATAGCTCTTCAAAATGATCGATTTTCAACTTGAAAATCTCCGCTTGTGGTTGATCATTTGGGATGACGTCAGCTGATGCACTTTCTACGCTCATTTTGACAACCTGTTATGAAAATCAATTTTCAATTCTGTTATTTGTCGTATGTCTAAAAGAAGGGCGCAACAGTTTTTGTCAAGCGACTGATTGCTACTTACTATTCAGCCTTCTATGCTACAAAGTACGGATTGGTTTCTGGCAGCTCCTCTATCGTGTACGACTCCGACTCAAATGTATAGCAGCAGTAGAAAAATGTGTTCAGCAACAATAACTACACGCTCACAAAATTCATTTGGTTGTTAAACACATGTGTTGGATAGAATTCATGTATTTTGCACACTTTTTTTACTCTTTTTATATTCTTTATTAGTTTTTTTTAAGTTTTTGTAATTATTTTCCTGTGCGATGTGTATTATCTCGTGTCAATCGGTTGATATTCTACTAGTAGCGACAATCAAATGTCAAAACCATTGAATGTTTCGGTGGAAACTGGAATTACGAAAGGAGCGACGCATTCGAAATCGAACAAAGTGATATTCCAAGAGACAAAGGGAATATGAATACAACTGTTCAGCTGTCAAAACAGGGGAAGATGAATATAAACAAATTGATACTAGGGATTTATGGACAAAACTAAATGCAATGGAATTTATTTAAATTCATTATTTATTTGTAAAAAAATGCGCATTTTTTCACATTTCCTTTTCAAAGTATTTTCTAAATTTTTTTCCAAATGAATGATTAAATTGAATACTTGATCCAAATTTTTCCGAACTCCATTAATTCATTAACTCTAGGAAAATCACTTCAATGCCTAAAATTAATTAAATTAAATTATCACTAATCTTTCTTCGTCAGCATTTCCATCTTCATTCGATGGCTTTTTTTGTACATATTCATTATTTTACCATCGACCATAACGACTTTCTTATGATAGACCATTTCGTGTCGCCATCGACTTGCGTTCACAGTGAACATCTTGTCACAATATCGACACTTCTTTTTTGGTTCTTCATGCGATGCTTTATGGATGCCTAATGCACCGCTTGAAACAAAATCCTTGTTACAAATGTCACACACATACGGTCGTTCCTTTGTATGGGCTGCATTTATATGATTTTGAAGAACATTCGGATATGGAAAGGATCGATCACAGTAGGTGCATTTGTGTTTTTTCACTATACTGTGTACGGCGGTTTCGTGCGAGTAACAACTTGACTTTGAAGAGAAACCTTTCCCGCAGTGACTGCACATAAACGGCTTCTCTCCAGAATGTTTTCGCATATGAATTTTTTGTGTCATTTTGTGCTTGAACTCAGCATTGCAAATATCGCATTTGAATCGAAGTTCCGAGTGCTTCATTTTCTTGTGATGCTCATAGCTAATTCGCGGATATTTGTTGCAGATTTCACATTTCTTCATCTTTTCCGCAATATCTTTGCGGATATGACGGCGAGTCATGTGTCTCAATAAACTCTGTTTTTGTTTGAATGATAAGTCAGGGCACATATCACAATAAAACCGCTCGCTACTATTTTCTAACTTGTTGGGTCCACGTGGACGTCCAACTGGCCTTTTTGGAGTTATTGCTTTGATCGCATCATTGATGTTGGTTTCCTTATTCGTCGTCCTATGCATGGATTTTTCATGGAAGAAACGTCTCGAATTTGAAGCGAATGCTTTGCCGCAGATGGAGCAGATAAACGGCTTTTCGCCGGTATGTTTTCGCATATGAATGACTCGAGATGTGTTGTGTCTAAAAACTGCATCGCAAAAGTCGCATTTGAATCGAAGTTCCGAGTGCTTCATTTTCATGTGATGCTCATAGCTGATTCGTGGAAATTTGTGACAGATTTCACATTGCTTCAACTTTTCTGCAATATCTTTACGTATATGACGGCGAGTCATGTGTTTCAACATACTCGATTTGTGTTTGAATGATAAGTCAGGGCACATATCACAATAAAATCTTTCATTACTAATTTCTAACGTGTTGGAATTCATTGGTCCACGCGGTCCTTCAAATGACCATTTCGGAGTCATTGCTTTGATCGCTTCATTGATGATGGTTTGCTTATTTTTCGTTCCGGCTGGATGAGCTCTTGGTCGTTTTCGTACAATTGATACTTCGTCTGCTCTTTGCAATAAACCGTGGCCAACAATTTCGATTAATTCATTTTCCACCGAAACATTCTTCCATTCCGAAGCCACTTCTACTCGTGATTGCTCGTGATGAATTGATTCGTTTGCTTCTTTGGTTCCAATTCCCAATGAATCATGCCAAACATTTTCTTCCGAATTCACTGTTTTTCGCGGTGGTTCCTCTAGTGTCGGTTCGTCTTTGGCTATATTTGTCTCAATGCCATTGATGTCATCGTCGAAATTCTCATTCACCAGCAAAATTGGAAGCGGTTTGGCATAATCTACATACGATTCAACCACATTCCGTTCAATTGACTGTTCAGCGTCTAGTCCAAATTGCCCAAGTTTTGCATTTGTTGCTACATAGTCGATCGGCGTTGGCTCAATGCTACAATTATCCGCCCAAACGTCACCGTTCACAAAGATAGCTCCTTTATCGTCTTGATGCTCCGACAAAATGTGCACTTCTAAATTGGATCCAGACTCAAATTCACACTGACAACTTTTGCAGCAGTAAACGAATGTATTGAACTCGGTCAGCATCAATAATCCACACGCCCGCTCAATTTGGTCGATTGTGAAACACATTTTTAGGAATCACAGCTTTTGAACCGAGTTTTGATACTGGTTTCGATGAATTTCTTACTTTTTGCTTTTATTCTGCTCAGCTTGCTATTTATGATAAATTTTTATTCCGCTTGTTTATTCTTTTGACTGTGGCCGAGAAATGTCAAAGCAAACCTTTGCTCAGGTCGGAACTGGAATTTGAAATGTCACATTCCAATATTCGTTGTTTCGAAAATAACTTCAATTCCGAATGTTTCAATAGTTTCAATGTTTCAAACTGATGGACGAGAACTATTTGAAAAATCAAAATGACAAACGAATTATTTGATACAAGGAAATTTAAAATGCAATATACGTTTTTGTTATGTGGGTAAAAAAAAGGATTTATTTTGGACAAAATATAATATTTTTAGAAGAAACAATTTCTTTTTTATTAGAACCGAACTAATTATTCAGAGCATTGCATGATGCAAATCATTTTATATCAATCAAACTGAAATTGGATTGTTTTTTGGCCCATTTCACGTCCAGATAAATATTTTCCTCAGCGTAAATGGTGACTTTTCATGCGTTGCTCAATTTCAAACGTTCCTTGTTCAATTGTACAAGGTTGAGAATATGTTCATAGTTTTTCTTCAGTTGAAACACAACGATCTTCGTCAAATTAACGCTGACTCAGTCGCCCGAAAAGTTAGTTCAACGCACTCATAGTGCAAAATTCATCTCCTTCTTTATTTTATCTTCCAAATTTGACATTTTTTCTATTTTCAAAATGCCATATCTCCATATTCATTGTAATCAAAATTGTGATTTAATGCATCATACGATGAAACTCGTTTTATCTCAATGAAACTCCAGTTAGTTTCATATTTTGACCATTTTAATGCTAAATAAAAAGGTTCTTCAACATAAATGGTGACTTTTTTTGCGTTGATCAACTTTGATCGTTCTGTATTTAGTTCATCAAGTGCGAGAATATCTTCATTCCTACTAAAATAATCGAACACTACAATTTTGTTCAATTTCGATGAATAACGAATGAACGGGACAATGTCTTCAAATTTTGGATATGAGAAATGAATCGATTCTAAATTGACCATTTTCATGACCAGCATTTTCATATTTGTGATGCGAAATGGTTTCTTGATGTAGAGCTGCTTGAGATGGATCAAATGAGATAGATCCGTCCCAATTTCCATGCCTGTAATGAACAATTTGGTGAAACCATTGAGTGTGCTTAACTGATTGGCAGCGTCTTGATTAAACGACTCATATTGATCGAAATAGTACACATGCAACTGTTTGAAAGGAAAATTTTCATACAGCTCAGTCCAAAGATCCCGAAATAGATGAAATGTTTCCGTATGATTGAATCGAATACTTAATACGTCCAATTTCAGTTTACAGTATTTAAATGCATTTCTATTGGCCAGAATCATGTCTGCGCTAGTGCCAAAACTTTTGATGTTGGTGTTTTGTTCGAAAAATGTCTTCAATTCGTCGATTGGTCCGCTATCATTTGTTATCAGCTCAAAGTGTTCGAGTGTTGGATACTTTCGCCGAAGCCAACTATTGTCAGTGCCAACAATGGGTGCATTACTCGATCCTTGAATGCACAACTTCTTTATGTTAGTGCAAAATTCTAAAAAACAGGAATAAAAATCCATTTTATCGTCGACAAATTGAGGAAACTTCAATTTCACCGTTTCCACTTGGCCGAAAATCTCTTTTATGCATGATATTCCAGCTTCAGTAAATTTTACTCCGATCAACGAGATTTCCGTGAGCGATTTAAATTGATCAGCTTCCATATGAGGTATGATTGTTGAATGTTCTGCTATCCACTGTTCACTCCAACCTTCCGATGGAATATCGGCCAAGCGATGGAATACCAGTTTTTTCACATATGAATTCAATCCAACGATTTTACGTTCAAAATCCTCACGAAATCGATTTACACACCACATGCGAAATGGCATGTTGATACCATCGCTTGCATATTCCAATTTCATTGCATCAAAATTCGTCATAAAATAGTACTCGACGATGTGTTGCATTCGCTTGCATGTTTGCCCAAGTGCAGCCAATTCGGTTAGTTTTAACAAATCAAAGATCAACTCAAAATGATCGAATTTTAACTTGAAAATCTCCGCACGATCGTCTGGGATCATATAAGGTATTACACTTTCAAAGCTCATTTTTCGAACAAATTAGAAACAAAAATACAGAAATATTTCGTTATGACAACCAATTTTGGGGCACAACTGGGTACAACAATGCAATTTATGATGAGATTTTCTTTCTGTTTATTTTTTCATTTTTTTGTTTTTGTTGAAGCGATTGAACTGTTTTTCTTCGTTCCACTCAAACGAGAATAGGTGACAAGTCGATTTAAGTGTGTTTGCCGGGTTTCTAAAAATAAACACAACACTGCTATTTTGTTTCTCTAGTGACCCATTTGTGTTTTCTACACCGCTGTGTCTGACGCAGTACGATATGAACCTTTTGAAATTCACAGAGCCTTTTGATAGTTTCACCATATACTTCTACCGTTTCGATGATCACTTCGAATTTTATTTTCCAACTCAACACCACATTGACACGTTTTAATGCAGTAAATTAATGTGATACACTCGTTCAATAACGACAATCCCCAATTCAATATTCAATTGTTTTTAAAAAGTATTTTCTAGTAGAAATTACAGCTTTTAGCTGACTTCTTTTTCTTTTTCGATCGATTGATGTGTCTTTCCTTGCCTAGCTACTTCGCTTTGATTGGAATAGTGGCCAAGAAATGTCAAAATCATCGAAAATGTTTCGGTGTGAAATTGGAATTACGCCAAAGTGTCGAAAAACATGTATTTCAGACAGTTCAAAACCAACGGAATATGAATATAAACAAATTGATTTGAACATTTGAGAAAAAACGAAACAATGAAATTGAATAAAAATCAATCATGAGAAAATCTCACATTTGTCTAATTTATTAGCTATTTTTGGGAATTTTTCTACATATTTTAGGTAAAATCGTAATTATTGCTTAATTTTATACCTATTTCGATTTCATTTTCTTATTCTTTTTCTTCTTTTTCATTAAAATGTTATTTCAGGACCGTGCATCCAGTAATCGAAATTATGATTCAATGCAGCGTGCGATGAGCCCCGTTTTATCTCAATCAAGCTTAAATTGATATGATTTTGGGTCCATTAAGTTAAATGTTCAACTGTTTCCATTTAAAAACTATCCAACTTTTTTTGATCCACTAACAGTTGTTAGAAGAACGCAGAAATATGACTTTTTTTAGTTTCCAACGGATCAATACACTACCATTTACCACGTCGTTCTATACCGACCATATGTTTATTGATTAATTTCAATGAAATATGAAACTCCATCTCCAATTCTGACAGCTTCAAATTGGTTGTGAACCGATAATGACGTAATATTGACGATAGCATCGATTTCAGCGACATCATTCCGTATTGATAACCTTTATTCATGGATACGCAATTAAAATTTTAAGGATAGATTATTTTGCAAAAGAGATTCGACACATTTTCTGTGTGCGAATTTAGTTTGCACGAATAATGATTTACAGAAACAGATCATTTGGTATTTTATGATAGTTTTTTTGATGAACAAAATTACCAATGCAATTGCGCGGACCGGCTGAAAACGGAACAAAAGAGAATGGATGTCGTTTGTTGATATTCTCGGGTAGAAAATGATCCGGATCAAACTGATCAGCTGATTCACCCCAAATATCGACTCGCTGCAAGAGAACATTTCTGTATCAATTCTTGTTTTCTTTTCAAAGAAACATTTTGATTTGATTTGATTCATTTTTTTGTGATTTTCTTTCAACAATTTTATCTAATTTTTTTTTACAAATCTTAAAACATCAAAGAACTCACGCGATGCAAATTAAAAATCGACAGTGTCACATAGCAATTCTTCGGTATTGTACAGTTACTTATTTGCAAATCGGCCATAACACGTCGCACCGTAAATGGTCCAGCTGGAAATAGGCGCATTCCTTCTTTAATAACACGATCCAAATAGGTTAATTGCTGAAGTTGTTCATGGGTCGTTTCTTCGTCTTGTGACTTGTAAACGGTGCGAAGCTCTTGATAAACTCGTTCTTGAACCTCTGGATGCATGGCCAATAGAAGAATCACGTATGAAGCTGTACCGGATGATGTCTCTGAACCTCCTATCAACCTATGGAATTAGATTGTATTTTAATTTCCTTTGGTTTTATTTGATTTAACTTCATGCTTCTTACATGCTTTCAACTTCATCAATTGCCGTTTGATCGTCAATTTTACCTTCATACACCAGACGAAGCAGACGATCTATCAAAATTTGTGGTTTTTCATACACTTCATCAGAATCATTCTCTTCGATCGTTTTATGTTTGTTTTGTGTGATGAACTCTTCTTTTTTGATGCGATAAATCTGAAATGTGATTGAAAACGTATAATTTTTATGCTTGTTAACTTCACTCAATTTCTCAAATAGATTCAATTCGGATTCCTGAATAATTCCATTTTTTACCAGTCAGAATGATTCTAACCAATTCAAATGTAACTCACATGCATTGTCAAATTACGCAAATTTCCTAAATGTTTTACTTGCGATTTGTACAAATCGGTCCATCGATAGATGTAATCGGAATGTGTCCAAAATTTTATGAAACGTTGACCAACGATTTCGAAAAATCTAGAAAAAATGACCAAAAATAAGGAGATTGCATCGCGTAAGCTCTAATTAAAATGTTTAACTCACGCTTCAATACTCTGCAGGAATTCACGATTTTGATTACGTTGCACATCGACATCGTAGCCCATTGTTGTGGCTGACACTTTGTCCAAAGTACAAGCGCTCAGATAGGGAAAAAGGTCAAAATGTGGTTTTCCCACTTCATTGTTAAGATTTTCAATTAGAATTTTGATTTTTGCATTGAAAACGGGCAAGAATGATCGCAGAATCTTCAGGCTGAATGATGGATTTATCAATTTGCGAATCGGTTTCCAAATGATGGACGCTGCAAAATTATAAATTTGAACAGAAATGTTGAAAAAAAAAAGTTTGAAAGTTTATTTTGAAGAGTTTTTCCGTAAAAATTTGGTGTTTGAAAGAAAATTTCAAATAAATC